ATAACATGATTGACTAATCCCGCTAATCCCAAGAATCGATAAATAACCTAAACATCGATTTCAATCGCAGCTTTTTATTATCGATAACATGATTGTTAAGTTTAAAAGTAATCACACGTGTCATCGACTAATCCCATACCGATCGATGAAAGAATCGATAAATAATCTAAACATCGATTTCAACCGATAGGCAATCGATAACATGACTGGCGACAAATCCCACATCGATAGCTCGATTAATCGATCTATTTAACTATGAATTGTGAATGAGATACATTGAAATCCTTGTATCTGTCTACATACACAAATACACGCAAATATCATTGATATTCCAGTGCAATGCTATGTAGAGTTGCATTCGATCCGCTTCAGCTTCAGCTGCGATTCGTTGCACAGATGCCAAACGCGTGACCCCAAAGCCAACAGAGCAGACGGCTAAGATATACATACATACATATATCTTCATGATGATAAAGATGATGTTGCTGGTCATGATGATGATTACAGAAAGAACCGCAAGAGCTAATTGCTTATTCACAACGCATAACCTTGCCACTTCATGTGATGTCTTGCTTCGCTGTGCATTCACACTTGACGGCAGTAAACCCTTCCCAGTGACTGCCAAGACTGAGCAAGAAGAAGAAGAAGCAGCAGCAGCAGCAGAAGTCATAGAAGAAAACTTTCATCTTGGCTTAATTGAAAATGCAGCGTAATGCCCCAGCAGAAAACGACAGCTGCTGTGGATAAACGGGGAAAACGGCAAACAGCGACAAGAAAATAAGAAAAACCAAGCCAAGGAAAAACACATCAAATAATATAATTATTTCTCTCTAGACTTTTATACCTGTGTGTGTGTGTGTGAGCGGTTTTTCACTTTGCCTTTAAGCTGCGATTTATTAGTGAGCTGTGCGTCCAGATTTCCGCATGCTTTTTCAACCGTGAATAAGCACGAACTTTCATTTTAAAATTCTAGAAGCGCACGCCCCAAGCACCACGCCCCGCCCGCTCCGCCCCGCCCCATTTCAAGTAGTGTCAATTTGTCGAGTTGTGCATTAAAAATGAGACCAACGAACCGACTCTTTAACTGTGCTCAGCTCTGCCTCTTCTTTCTGCTGCTGCTGCTGCTGTCCAAATCAACAACATCATTAACAGTTCCCTCATATATGGGGCTCTGGGCCCGCTCTTCTTCACGGCTAACAATTTTCTCTGGAAACTTTCATGGCTGCTAGATTTGGCTTAATTCTAATGCTTAATGCCGACCCGACCTGTAACGTGCCTGGAAATGGTAATACAAATACAAATGCGACACAAACAAGTTGAGAATTGCATGCATATGATTTACTAATTGAAATTCGTAGAAAGTTTCTTTCTTGTCTTTCCAAATTGGCGAACCAAGTCTTTTTGGTCAAACTTCGGCTAAATCTAAATCTATTACAGTGAACGCTCGCAAATAAAAACGCTTCGATTCCAAAGCTGATGCCAATTACCATTACAATTACCATTATTTTTGATCTGTTCCAAACCAATCCTAAGTATAACAATGTAGATATTCTGTTAATGAATGGAGCTTTTTGTTTCTTTGCAGTTTTAATTATCTAACGTTCACTGTAGTATAACTATTCTCTTCGTAGATATTTTTGTTGGTGTCCGGGTTCAAAACTCAGTCTGTTAATGAATGTAGCCACATGTTTTATAGACCAGAATGTTTAATACAGGAATATATTCTGTACTAATTAGAATTTCTACTCTTTTAGCGCTCACTGTATAACACTTTCGCTTTGTTTCATTCCAATCTTGAGTATAACAGTTTTGGATAGATTTTCGGTCTTTGGGTTCGAATTTCAGTCTGTTATTGAATGGAGTTTTAGGTTTTTATGAAGTCCTTCTCTTCGAGCGCTCTGTTTAACACTTTTGAATTGTTTTGTTCCAATCTTGAGTATAACAATAACAGTTTTAACTATACTTTTGATCTTCGGAGTTGAGCTTTCGGTTATTTGGAAGTTCTACCCTTCGAGCGTTCACTGTATAACACTTTCGATTTGTTCCGTTCCAATCTTAAGTATAACAATTTAAGTTTTTTTTTTTTGTTTTTGTTTTAACTTGTGAAAGTTTTCGTTCAAGTGTCAAATCGTTTGGCCATTCCTTTTTTTTTCACGCCTTTTTCTTTTACTTTTCCGTGTGCGTTTAGCAGATAGTCGTCGCACTTGTTGCTCTGCTGCGTGTTCCCCTAGCTGAGTCTCTGCCGATGGCCGGTTGTTCCGTTTGATTGAATCAATTTGCCACTTTGATGTGGCACGTTACGCTGTGCTCAGGCCCCATTCAAGCGAGAATTTCAGATAAGCGCGTTCAGTTCTGACAAACATGGGGAATTTCGCAACATGCCATCTGAGCTCTAGAGATGTGAACCTCGTGCGATGCCCACGCAATCGGGTTTGACTCATGCTGATGTGTATTCCAGGAAAGCCTTTCAATTGGATAACAATATGTCTACATATAGCAATTTATCTGGAATAACCCCCCGTGGACAGGAGATAGCTGAAGCTTACGCAAGAATCAAATTGGTTATGACTCACCGACAATAAAATTCGGATTACGTTCGCCAAGATTAAATGCCCTATAAAGCTGGACATGTATAGAAGATCCGAAAGTTTTAATCAATGTTTCTACTGTGATTGAAATTATAATCAAACTGTTAGTAAAATAGGTCAAGTTATTTCTAAAAAAAAAAAGAACAAATATTTCATATAGATAGAAGCAGAGTTTCTATGTGGAACTTTGGTTCCGGAAATGATTCCATTTAAAACTCCTCCAAAGATATATTGAAATGTTATGTTAACATATATCGCTTATGAGTATATGTATCAGGTATGCAAACCCAAAACAAATAGTCGCTGGTTCGAATTACAATTCGAGACAAATCAAATCTTGTTTTCTCATTTAAATATTCTCAAACTTTAGGGAAACATTTCAATTTGTAAGTTAACTATTTGCATATACAAGATGCAGGCTAAAGTTGATCTTTCTCCAATAATAGACATCTACCAAATTTGGTAAGATAAAGCCAATGTTGTTGGCGTTAAATCTCCTTCAAAAGTTTGTCACTTTGAACTCAGGTGTTTTTCGATAAGAAACGTTTCGGTTTCGGTTTCTTTTCTGTTTCTGTTACTCAATTTGGGTTTCAAAAGTATTTTTAGGAACTCTGTATTCAAATGGATTTCAAGTACATTAATAAAGTCAAATCTTATAAACAAAACATAAAACCGCATAAAGATTTTACACTGAGACAAAAACAGCATACACATACATACATACATATGTGTTATAAAGTTGGGCAATATCGTGACCAATTTATGCTACGCATAAAGTCAAAGTAGCCTTTCCTTCGTTTAGGCTGTAAATGGGTGAAGGTTGTCCAGTTTTGACGCCCTTTTTTTTTATATATATGTATGCCTCCCTTTCGTGCGATTTGTTGTTGTTTCTTTTCTCCGTATATTATGGCAATTCACCCCCCCCCCCCCCCTCTAGTCGCGCCTCTGCGTGCCCAGCGTCTTTATGGGTTTCTGGCTTCTTTAATGATGAGTCTTAATTTTGGCTCGTCGTTTCGCTGGTTTCTTTTGCCGGGGCATTGCGTAAGCCTCGGATGACACCAGCTTTTACTTTCCTTTTGGGCCGTGCCGAGGCTAAATTAAATGTGAACAAAAATAAAATAATACAATTTGAAGATGATGCGAATTTGAATTTAATGCGAGGAAGTAGACAACAACAACAACAACAACAACAAAAAAACGAATAAGCTATGCTTTTATTTTTCACTTACAATTAAAAATTATGAACTCGAGTTTTTTTCCAAGCGCATTTGCATAAATTAATGTAAAAATAAAAAAGTTGTTAAAATAAATAACAAAAAAGATTAGAAAGAAGTCGAGGCAAATAAATCATTTCTTTGCTAAATCTAATTAACATGCATATGCATAAGCGGATTTCAGCTTGGCAACCTCGCAAAATATAAATAAATACATATACATATATGTATGTATATTTACTTATTTACATACTCAACCAACGCACACACACACGCACAGAGCGAGAGAAAGAGAGAGAGGGAGAGAGCGAGAACTGTGAAATGAAGAAAAAACTCACGCGATCGCTTTTTTATATACACACATACAACAACAAAAAGTCTATATTGAAAAAAAAAACGCTGTATAAATAATATATGTAAAAACGCATAAACTAAATAATAAATATAAAGCATCGACCAATGTGTTTAACGTTGCACAGTGGTTCAGAACTATAGTAAAAAGCAAACAAAACACAGTTTTGTATAATTTGGCAACTATTTATGTTTCGAAATTTATTTTACAATTTAGCAAATAATTTTATTAATTTACAGTATATTCAAATATGAATTAAATATATTTATATGTAATATAAATATGTATATACATATATATGTAATATATGTATATATTTAATGTAATATACTATGTCATAATTGAACTTACTTGAATTAAATTTGTAAAAATATTGTGTGCTCTAAGTTTTCATTGCCAATTAAATTTTCTGTTGTCTCTAAAAATATAAGATCATAATTCGAAGAGATCAATTTTATCTAAAAATTTCTCACAGCTCGTACCACTGTGCAATGGGCGTGCTTTTCTGAAATTTGCAAAAGCGCTGACCAAAAGTAAATCGCGATAGAAGTTTTGTTGTTTTCACCTAATTTCGGAATCAAGAAAAACGCAAATAGAGTTGAAAGTGAACGCGGCAAAAATCGAAAAACTTAATTTTGATTTTATTTTGTAGAAGAAAGTTTAACTCAAGATATTCAAAGTGAAAGAAATGAACAAGTTGAGCAAAATATAAAACTGTGTAAAACATGTTGAAGCCAAGCAGCAGCGGACAAATGTGCAAAACATAAACAACAACAACAACAAACCACAAGCTAAAAGCTAAACGATCAAAAACGAAGCAAAACAAAAAAAAAAAAAAAAAAGCAAAAGTGACTGTGAATAATGTTGAGAGCGCCCACACAGCACATTGTGGAACTGGGTTTCGGTACAGCGACAGCAGCGGCCGCCACAAACGAAAAGCAACAACAGCGCAAAAGTTTACTGCAAAAGCTCAAGCAGCAGCAGCAAAAGCTACACAAGCCATTGACAGCGGCAGCAGCAGCGACGTCAGCGGAAGCGCCGGAGACAAATCAAAAGAGAGCAGCGCGGGCAGCAGCTGATTATTATTTTAAGCAGCAGCAGCAGCAAAGCGAAAAGTGTTTGTTATTGCTGGCAACAACGATTACAGCGGAGCAGCAGCCGCAGAAGAAGAAGAAGGAGCACACTAGCTATAGCTTTGCAGCTGCGCTGCGGCGCAACAAGAAGCCAAAAACAACAACAAACCCAACAGCAGCAGCAGCGGCAGCAGCAGCGGCAGCAGCGGCAGCAGCAGCGACAGCGAAAGAAACAGACGACGACAGCAGCAGCAATCAAAGCTGTCGCAGCATTAATAGTAATAACAAAAACAACAACAGTTTGTCTAATAGTTGCATTAACAACCATAACAACAACACTCATTATAAAAACAGTAAAAACTGCAGCGGCAGCAACAGCAGCAACAACAGCAACAACAACTACATAAGTAATTACAATTTCAAAACAAGTGAGCAACAAGCGTGGAAAACAGTAACAACAACAACAGCAACAGCAGCTGCACAACAACAGCTGCTCATTAACAGCAGCAATCGACGCAAAAGCAGCAACAATAACATACACAGCAACAGCAACAGCAACAACAACAACAACATGTCACCCACATCGCAGGCACCTACACGAACATCTCTGTTCGATTCCTGTCATCGCAAGATCCGTCTAATTGGCGGCGGTCCAGTTGCCTTCTTGGGCGGCTTAGTGGCGTAAGTTGCTAACATTTTTCCATTTGCTACTATTACTTGCAACTCTTTAGATATGGTTAAACATCTTTTCTCCTATGAAATTCAACAGCTAACCGTGGGATTATTGGCAACAGTATCTATCAATCCATAAACTGTTAGATATTCCAACAAGAAGCATGTGCGTCTTATTGGGATATATGCCAGTTGTATTGGTCTGCTTGAACATGTTATTCACATGTTATTATCAACATTCTCCCATGTTCTGTACACTAATGTTGAGGCTCTGTTAAGTGTTATTTTTAGCTGCTAGCTTAAAGTGCTCCAAAAAATCTAGTTAAACGACACAAAAGTAATTAGAATTGAAATACAACAAACTTAATGTGGCCAAAGGTCAAACGAAACAGAAACCCAGACTTTAAGAAAGATAAATAACATTTGTGTCTTATTTACTCAGTTTTATGACTTTTAATTACTATCATTTCTCAGGCGGCTTTTGTTTTTTTTTGTTTAAAGGTAACCACTAAAAGCTCTTTGTAGTGCAAATTCAAGGCTTCCGAGACAATTAAAATATCTAAAAAACAAAAAAGGTAAAGAGTTAAATGAGACACAAAAACTTAGCTCAGCTGGCAAATAGGCCTGAAAAGCGTTAGTTTGAAGGTCGCTTACCAAAGCGTGTATTGTTAACACAGCACTGTTACTGCGCTGTTAATGTGTCTGGCTTTAACAGTTCGCTGTTAGCAGTTGTATCTTCTGTGCTGTTTGTTCGCTTGCATTAACGGATTTGGAAAGCTTCCGCGTTTGCTCAGTTCGGAATTAAGGCCAGTACCAAAATAAACATTAGCAAACAAATTTAATAAGTAGTTAGCTTCTTTTTTTATTCCCTGAACCCATTGAAAATGGGTATAATGTGTTTGTGCAAATGTATGTAACAGGCAGAAGGAAGCATCTCCGACCCTATAAAGTATATATATTCTTGATCAGCATCAACAGCCAAGTCGATCTAGCCATGTCCGTCTGTCCGAATTTATGAACGCAAGGATCTCAGAACCTCTAAGAGCTATTTACTTAAAATTTTAGCTGTATGTATTACTCAGTTTCCAAGCAATCGAAAAATATCGAAATCCTGTTCTTTTTAAAATTGGGTAAATAATAAGATCTAGAGTCACCAAACTTGATATATTGCTTCTAGAATAGTATATATATATTAAGTATCTTTAATTTAATACCTAGCACCACATAGCTATAATCAAGATAATAAACAAACTTGTATTGCCCACCAATTTATGCCACAATTTTAATGCAATTGAAAAATATTCTATAGTACAATAAGATCTACTGTTGAAAATTTCATCAAGATCGGTTAAGAAACACAAAAGTTATTAAAGAAAACGTGTTTTGGCTAGTCTCGTGTTTGCGGCATCTAGAGAAAATTGCAAGAATTTCTATATACATGTACACACACACATTCATGCGCTTCTGCTTTGAATTCTATCTACCCAACTATCGGTTTGGCTGTTAAGTAGAGCCGGCGGCAAGTAGTGCGGTTTGCAGCGAGTTTGAACCCTGCCAAGGGAATTTTTTTATTTATTTTAATATTTCTTTTTCTCTATATATAAAACTGTTTGTCCTGACTGACTGACTGACTGACTGACTGTGTGACTGATTGGTGATCAACGCACTGCCCGAACCGTAAGAGCTAGGAAGCTGAAATTTTCACTGTAGTTACCTTATGTGATATAGGCGCACGTTAAGACGGGGTTTCGGGAAATTCCACCAGCAAGTGTGGAAAAATCGCGAAAAACGGTTGTATGTAACTTTTTTGTTTACCATCCGATTGACTTCAAATTTAAAGAATTTATCTTATACGTACCACGGGCACATGTCTATATTCTATATAGACATGAGTAAAAATTTCCCATCCCCATAACTCGGTAAAAACTCATTCGATTTTAGATCAATGTGGCATCTAAATCTGGCAAGATTATTTTTGTTTTAAGGTTTTGTTCGAAATGCTGCAAACTTATTTTCAGAGCTCTACATAAGAATTTAATGAATACGTGTTTCAGTGATTTGGGAAATTCCACCCGCAACAGTGGAAAATTGGCGGAAAACAGTTGTAAGCTAGTTTTTTGTTTACCGTGCCATCGGTTTCAAACTCATTTCAATGATCTTTCAGATAATTTATTTTATTCTTTCCACGGTCATAGCTCGTAATTTCGAGAATAAAATGCCCTTAAGAAATATGGTTCAATGCGTAATAGGTAATCCAGCAGCTTTCCCGCCACTTTCCGCACGTGCTGTAGATCGTGCGTATGTAAATAGTTTTAAAATACAGTCTGAGACAGTCCGGATAGCAATCAACAAAGTTTTATATCCGTAAGCCGACTTCGCCTTGAGGCCCATTGTGGTGCCGAATGTGAAAAGTTCCTTTCTTTCTATTGACAGTCAGTTAGAAGTCAAAATAATGCTAATGCTAGCTGATAAGAGATTTATTTGGAAATATAAATACATGGCGTGATGCTAATGAAATTGCAGTATAAATTGCATTATAAACAATTGCTTGTAATATTTGTTTCTATAAATCGAACTAAAAATTAGAATATTTTATGAATGCTGTCACGTAATCAAAAGGATAAAAGGATAATTTACATAGCGCTATATAAGCTAGAAATCAAATTTGTACTAACTTAAATTAGTAAGTATACCATATTACATTTGGGCTGGGCGGGCACATAAACATAAACATAGGTGATTACCTAGATAGAAATGAGGAGAGCTTCAGGTGTGCTCACACTGCAAATTGTATTATCTTTTAGCCCTTCTTGAAATCAAGTACATATGTCGGCTAATGCTGCCATATGCCGCCTTGCCGGTTTCGTCCTTCTCCAACAACAGTCTGCCGCGGGCAAACTTCTTCTCGCATTCACCCAGCGCTGGTGGCTTAAGGTTAGGCGTCCGGGGGCCCAGGCTGCCGCTGGCATAGAAGTCCATGGGATAAGCCATATTGCGTGGCGAGGCATTATCTGGCGTCAATATGACTCAATGTAGCCCAGCACCACGGATAGCTCATAGGGATTCAGCAGTGGCTGCTCAAAGGCTGAGCCCCAATCAATGGACAGACGTGGATAGGCAATCTGCACGAAGGCAATCTGTGGAAAGATCTCAGACAGCAGCGACCAGGTGGTGCAATGCAATTCCCTTGGCATGTGGACGCTTCTCCAGAAATCGGTGCACACGAGCTCTGCCCTGTCGACCAAGTGTGCCTAGTAATCATAATGTGATCATAATGCTCCACGGTGAACTTCTTCTTCTCGCACGGATCGTACTTGTAAGCCTGCAAAGGGATAGAGTTAATAAAGTTTACAATGCAAGGCGTTCTGCGTTCTGCCTACCTTCAGCAGCGGGTTACAATTCGATGGCACTGCACTGCTCAATAATCAATGCTCAATAGTTCCGTGTCCGTATCCATGTCCGCAAGATCGGCAAGAGGCAACTCATCTAACTTTACATAGAAGTAAAATAAAGAAATTTGTTATAATATCGAATTCTATTTCATTTGAATTTGTTTGATATGCGTCGAATTTAATATATTTGGGTTCCTTTCTGTTGTGGTTTTTAGTTGCGATTACAGCATCTGCATTTATTTATAAATACATTTTACGACAATTTAAGCTTTTTTACAATAAATGCTATACATATTTGTTGTTGATTTTATTTTCCACTGCTTTTGGGGCGTATAAGCATTTTGACTGTCCTCAAGTAGATATTTTCCCAAAATATGGCATCTTTTTTGTGCACCTTATGATCATAGTATTTGCCATTTAAATTGCTAAAGAAAAAAACAATATAAAAATTAATTGCATATAAATTGTTTTGTCAAAGCTTTAGCGATCAATACCAGGATACACATCTATGGTACCACCAACCACCACCATTATAGTCTCGGCTTGCGCAGTTGCCAGAATCCCAATTGTCATTGTCACGATCGAATGTGCTGAATTTCTTGTCTTTGTGGTATAGCAAGTCATCACTGGCACTGCCTTCAGATTTACCCACGCTGATCAAGGTGTATTGGTCCTCCTCGCCAGAAATGGAAAATTGTTCGTATCTTCTGTATTTGATGACACCATCAAATCCTTCCATATGTATGTAGAGCTCATGAGGCTGGGCGCGTGTCAAGCGATGAATCCTCTCGAGACCGAGGAAGAAGTCGCCATCAAAGGAACCAAAACCTTCACGGTAAGAGGTCCAATTCCTGTAGAAATCCTCCTTACCGTCGATTCGCTGCTGGATAACCGTCCAGCCAGGACCTGCTGTCGCACTATCACAAAGGACATCGAACGGATCCGGGTTAATCTTATGAATACCCGGAGCATCAGCAAAGTCGGTGCAGTCATTTAGAACGGGCTTCTCTTCGCAGCTTTTTAGTTTCTTGGCACAAATGTTGATTTCGTTTTTGAGTTGGGATATTTGTTGGGCCTGTTGATCAATTGACTTCTTTTGTTTTTCCAGCTGCTCTTCATAGTCCTGGATTTTCAAGGCATTGGAATTGGGTTTACTCATTTCCTCTTTTATTGATAAAACGTTGTTCGTTAGCTCTTTGATACTCTGTTTGTAGAATTCATTCTGAGCTCTCAGTTCCTCGATGACCAGTACATTATGTTGACTAAGTTTATCCTGCAGTTGTTTGATTTCCCTGTCTTTGCCTTCAACCTTATTGTTATTGTTTTCAATTTCCTCCTTCATCTGATGAATATACTTTAACAAAGGTCTCACTGCTTTATAGGTGTGCTCTCCACATTCTTCCTCTGCTATTCTGGTTGCCACACACGACTAATAAAAAAGAGTATGATTTATTTTCTGCATTGCACACAAATATTAATAAATAATCTGTTTTTACCTCATTTTCGTTAGCCTCTGCTTCATCTATGATCAGTATTATGCTTGCAAATATAATATATATAAACACAATACATTTCATTTTGATAGCACTTTGATTTTGGAATTGAAATGCGAATCTCAACTGCACTCAGCGACAGCACGCACGTAAATAGACTGCAATACGGCAATCAATTGGAAGAACGTGTGTCCAATATTTCGGCGATTTGAAGCGATTATCAGTAGGTCAGGAACTCAATATAAATAAAGAAAAGGCATGGGTCAGGCCTCAAGTGACCTTCATTGGAATGTTGATAGATTGCAAATAGGAAAGTTCATTTGCGTTGGCTGCTTCTCGTTATCAGCTCATTTTACGAGACTAAAAACTAGTTGCGAACCGAGCCGAAATTCCAAAACCAACCCATATTTTTATATCCTGAATCCATTAAAAATGGGTAAACAGGGTATATTGCATTTGTTCAAATGTATGTAACAGGCAGAAGAATATATAATCTTGATCAGCATCAATAGCCGAGTCGATCTAGCCATGTCCCTCTGTCTGTCCGTCCGTCCGTCCGTCCGTATGCATGAACGGAGAGATCTCAGAACCTAGAAGAGCTAGGGGCTTGAGAGCTGTAGGTCCTCCTAGTACACGCGCAGATCGAGTTTGTTTCCGATATTCGATAACTTGCCCCGTTTCCAAGTAATCGATAAAAATCGATATCGAAATCCTGTTTTTTGAGCAATTGTGCTAAATAATAAGAGCTAGAGTCACCAAATTTGACATGTAACTTCTAGAATAGTATATATAAATCAAAATAAATCAATATAAAACCTATCGCCTGTTGGAAGAAGGGGCTTCAGGGTATCCCCTAGTCGGGAGTTCCCCACTAGAACCCCATACTTGTTTTAGAATACAAAGTTAAATGAACTCAAAGCGCGCTGATGATGAAGATGAAGGCAACCCCCATCAAAGCGTTGACTCTGTCAACACGAAAGTGCGCTGAACTGATAATTAGTTAGAAATGTAAATATTGACAGAAGTGAGCGTGCATAAAAATACGTAACACGAACACCAACACAAGCGCAAGGAATGTGAAGAGCAAGAATAAGAAGAAGAAGAAGTGAGCGAAGGAGGCGCGTTGTCAACTACCGTTGTCGCTCTCTCCCTCTCCCCCTCTCTCACTCACGCACACACACACGGAGAGCAAACTCTGCCTGACAGGGAATTAAGTAAAGTTTTGTTGTGGTCGCCTTAATGCACGCAGCTCTCTCGCTCTCTCTCGCATATTGATTGGCTCTGCGCGTGCAAGTGTGTGAGTGTGCGTGTGTGTAGAAAAACAATGACTATATGTATGTATGAGGAGCAGAAGAGCAAGCAAGAAGAAGCAGCGCGTAACCACGTAACAAGTCATTTGTTAGTGCAAGAAGAAGAGCGAGCAGCAGCAATAGAAACTGATGATAAACCTGTCAAAGCGCACAGCACAAAGTGTCAATGGCAGAAGACAAAATTTGCATAATAATGTCTTCAAGAAGTCGAAAAATTTGAATAAAAAATGATGTAAACAAACAAAGAAACGAAATGAAGAAGCAGACATACATGAAAAAATAAAAAAAAATAAAAAAAAACGCCTAAAAATATGACTGCATGAATAAGAAATCGACATAAATGAGTAATATTGTGTCTTGCCAGTCATTCAAACGACTCATTGTGTGCATTTTGTTGCTAACTGTACTTTGTGAAGGGAAGTGGAAGGGGAAGGGGGTTGCGGGTGCTGTGGCTAATTGAATGCCGCCAAGCGACAAACTCTGAAGTTTTGTGGCTTTTTAGCATTGAGATTTGAACAATTCGCAAATTGAAAGTCCAAACAGATTTTATGAAACCCATGTTAAAATTGTGTTAAGCACACATCAAATCGAAGGCTGCTGACCCAATTCAGTGTTGTTAAATGCTCTTATATAGGTGTTTGTTAACAGTGGATTACATTTGGATAAATTTTATTTTATATTCCTACAAAAACGACATGACTTAAGCCCTGTATATCTGTATATCTAAAAGAAAAACCCTCTGGCAGCTGCTTTCAAACAATAATTTGCTGCACTTTGCAACACATTTTTTGCAACCTTTTGTTTTTTTTTTTTTCCAATTTCCATGCACTACGATAATTTACTTTAGCTTTGGTAGAAAGTTTGTAAGCCCTTAAAAAAGTGCTCGATACTTCCATTATTTAAGTTAACAGCTGCCCCCATTTTCGCTTAGTCTCCTGCCAATAAACTGGACATACATACATACATATTTTATGCGCTTACTTGCACTTTTTCTTGTGTGTGTGTGTGTGTGTGTGTGATTTACTCTCGAGTTTATTCGTGTCTCTCGTTATTTATCAGCTCTTGGGCAGGGCAAAGTTACTTTCTTCCCCACTGACCAAGCGACTGACTAACTTGATGAGCCACAAACTTGACTCTTTAATATACATATGTAATATGGCCTTTGGCCGTCGGGCAAAACGGTTTGAATTTCCTGCTCCAATTTATAAAACTATAAATGTGACCAGTTTCTGAGTGTTTCACTTTTCAGAAACTTTAAATGAACTTACTTAAATATTATTGTTCGGCCCCTGAGTTATATTATGATTGGAAAAAAAAAATATAAAAATTATTTAAGAACACATTTGTCATCATATGTATATGTATTTGAAGAAATTCGAAGATAATAAAATATTCTATGATTTTAGTTATATTCTATATCTTTATTCTATTCGCCAGCTAGCTTTACTTCCGCTTCAAAAGTTGACCAACACTGGCAGTGACAAATGTTGAATATATAACACTGAAAGCTTGCGCTTATCTCAGGTGGCCATTGACCTCGAGAGTCTTAAGCGACAACAGCTGTTCTGAGCTGTTCTCAACTGCTCTGAACTGAACTGAACTTGAGCTGATATCTACCAGAGATCCCCATCCCCATCCCGATCCCGATCCCCATCCCCAAACACCTGTTGCTCCAATTGCCTTCAGACGGCGTTCATTGACATTCTGTGGGCCACTTAATGTCTTCCCAAGATTCAGTCAGATTCACAGCTGTTGTGCCAAAGAGACAAAGAGTTTCAGATAATGTTAAAATTAGTCGAGTCAGAAGGCGTATCAAAGTTTTTCCTCCTCATCATCATCATCATCATCATCATCGTCAGCTTCTTCTTCTTCTGCTTCTTCACTTTTTGCTGCAACTGTTGCCAGCTTTAGCCTGATGAGAGGCAGCGGCCCAAGACATGAGCCAGATCAACGATGTAGAACGTTAATACACACCGCGCCGCCGGATGCCACAAGCAGCAGGAACTACACAGTTTGCAGAAATGCCATAGATCGCGGAAATGTGTTGGATCTCAGGCTGTTGCCAAGGCCTGCTTATGAAGTATCTCAACGATACTTTCTGAATTCATTTTCGAAAACTAAGCTAAACTACACAGTAAACATATTGTTGTTCGTTTAATTTCTTATGGCTTTAAATTTAAACTAATTCTGAAATTAAAATTCACTTCATTCGCAATTTTAATTCTCTCGGTCTCTCTCTCTCTCATTCTCTTCTCATTTAACACAAGATTTGCTTATTAGTGCAGCGCTTTATATCTGAGGCTAAAAATCAATTTAGCATTTCTCTGCGAATCGGATTGTATTCAAAAGTCGTTTGTCTCTTCTATTCACGGTAATTATGCATAAACAATTGCCATAAAACCAACTGGATAAACCCCACCCCCTTTGGTCACATTGGCAACGGTAGTCAGGCCAAAAAGCGTTAGTTGATCTTGTTGTTGAGTGTAATTATTTGTCCATTAGCTCTTCTGGCAGCTGTTACAAATTTGGAACACGACTCCACCGGGGTCTGGCCCCAATGGCAAAGCGCCAGAGGTCAACGGAAATTTCTATTTCCAAGAATCAAGCTTTGAAGAAGAGAAAAAAAAGCGATGCCAAAAATGACAATGGAGTCCAATTTGAACTTGTGCTTGACCAGACTTTAAAATTGCATGTAACTGTATATGGAGGGAAATACAATTCTAGCTCTATATCCATATATTGTGCTACATAAATTAAACTTTTCAGGTTGTTCTCAACTATTTTCAATTAAGCTTAACTTGACATATAAATGTGCATGTTATTTTATTAAGTTAGCCCCCACCCCCCTGCAACTGAAGCGTTCTTAAGTGCGAGTCTTCACTGTAACACAGCTATATGTTACACCTACAGTTCGCTGTTAAAGTTAACAGTTACAGATTCCAACTTAACTGTATTGTAATCAATAGAAGTATGTCAGTTGCCTACCAATGTTACATTTAACAGTGCTCTGCTATTAACATACATACATATCCGTTAATTTCGCTACAACTAGAGTTCAGTTGCGGGTGAAACTCATTAATGCTACCATCTGTGGACCTTTTATGGCACTGAAAAACATTCAAAAAAGTGTTAGTTCATGAAAAACCGACAATAATTTGTTGTGGTTTATATAAATTTCTATTGCTGACCTAAACAGACACAAACACAGTCATCTTCACTGTTTTATTTTCAATTTCACCCACATGCAAAAAAGATGCAAGAAGAAAAACGAAAACAACAGTAAAAACAAAAGATACGACGCTCATAAAACTTCACCTTGAAGCTGAATGGCGCTTGCATGAGCCATCAAGTTCCGGCTGCGGCTCATTTACTTGCTACGCTTTTGCTTTTGTTTTCCCCTCCCTACCTGCCTCCCTCCCTGTCTAACGCTCTATCACTATCTTTTTCTTGCTGTCTGCGCTGCTTCACGCCTTTTTTAATCCATTTAACCACATGTTATCGCCCATCAACAAAAACATCATCTGCTGTCTATCTACATAACATAACTGTCTAGATGCACGCCGTCTCTCTTTTTAAATACTTTCCATTATTATTATTATAATTTTGTTGATTTTTACCTTCATCAACGCGACATTAACGTCGCCGCTCTCTGCATGACTCACAACTCATTACAAGCGCGCGCACACACAGACACACATACATACACGTACGAAAGCTGCTGTCATCGCGGGGCGCTCACGCTCTCCCTCCCACTGTGATGCGTTTGGCTCTCCCATTTGGGCGTTCTCACAACGGGTGATTCTTGTTGTTGTTGTTGTTGT